AGGAAAGAGCTTACGTCTTAGATGAGAGATCTAAAAACAAAAGTATACAACATTCTTTGAATTGTGAAGTTCTCCAGCCTTTATTGACGGTTGAAGAAGACAAAAGACTGGAAACAGAGGACAGTTCTGTCGATGATGATATGCATTATAGTTTAGAAGACATTAATATCGTGCTGGACAACAATTGTGTGGACGAGGATGAGAATTTAACAGATACGGGTTACAGTAGATATCATGAGTCTGTATCTGAATACGTGCCTCCATATTCAGATAGATCAAAACCTCTGCTTAAAAGTGATTCAAGACCATTCATAGAAGTTGAAGGCTACGTCGACAATGGTAATATTTTTGGCGAGATAAATGGTTGAAAATACCTGCTACTTAGTATGCATAAGCTGGGAATATTTAAAATAAATGGAAAGAGTAAGAGTTTTTTAGGTTTGTGCTCAGAAATTGAAGACAACACCAGATTTTGGGTAACCAGATTGATTTTCTACCTTATTAAAATAGTACTCGAGTGCTTGTGAAAGAGCATATAATCTTTTATGTTACTGAAAATACGAAATGTATGACATATTTATTTTTTTCTTGTTGTGTACATGTCGCAAAAAAAAGCATTCCTTATTGATTAATCTAATCTTTAAAATAAAAAATAAATAAATAAAATTGCACTTAAATGTGAAACTATTTTTGATACCTAACTTTTTAGAATTATAAACTATATACTATAGTTTATTTTCCTGTTTCATAGAGATTGAATACTAGTGGTCTTCAAGAACAGATAGGCATTTGTACATATGGTAAACAAATCGTATATTTAAGTAAGAGACATAACAGTGTTGATACCTGAAGCAGGGTCCAGTTTCTCATCCGTTACACTAACCTGGCTAGTAAAGATGATATTGAAATGATTAATTGCTGAAAATCTAATCCTAAACTTTTTGTTTTGGCTTTTTTTTTGTGTCTCAAAGAGACTGCATACAAAATACTAGTATAAATGATCATTGAATTATAGTGTGGAATTAATAAGAGAGAGATAAAAATAGTTTAAAACGTACCTTTTGTAGTTCGTGGTACGTTGACGCATTGAAACAGTAAATCAGTTTAATAGCTGAACTTATGAAATCAGTGAAGAAAACACAAAAAGATAGATTTTGATTACTCAATAAAGTTTCTTTTTCATTCTATTCTTTTTGGCTCATTAGTTTTTATTCTGTCACTGTTGTCATATGAGTAAGCTCACATAAATTTCATTTTGGGGTAAACTACTTCATGCTCAGAGTTCTTAATTGTATACAAAACTTATATGTGCTTATATGTGCACTGAAAAATTTTAGGAATCCATGGTGTGAATTTGTTCAAATTTTTTTTTTAATGAATGTAGATTGACATATGTGTGGTATGAAAATTCAATTGATATATCTTGGTTAAAAAATTAGGTATACACCACTCTTTTAGATCAGTTTAAACAATCATGGTTCAGTGAAGTACAAACTTCCCCTGCAAAGGTTTGAATTACAGAATCTTAAAAAAAATAATCGTTGAAGAACATTTGTTGAATCTGCCTCTGGACTGTCCAAGAAATATTGTGTATTTAGAACTGGGAATACAAAATTTGTATTGAGACTGGTAGATGGTTTGATATCCCAAGAGGGAATAGAATTTGTAAATTATGTAATTGCAATTGAATTGCATTATAACTGGTAAATTGCATCATTTTTTTTAATGTACTGATGTATCTATAAAGAACTCAAGAGTTCTATATTTACCAAAATATCAATCAAATCTATGTTTAGAAATGCTTTTCAGTGTACCAAAAATATATTATTCAACTGAGCAAAATTTGTAAATTGTTGGATAATATATATTTGAGAGAGTTGATTCTCTTGATTAATTACACTTTATTATCCATCCTTCAGGCATATATTGTTTTGCTTATTATGTTGTTTTTACACTTTGTACATATTAATTTTATGTTTTCTACACATTTATGAGAATAAAGTTCATTGAGAGCATGTACTATTATAATTGTCTGAATTTCAGTGCTCTAAGCAAAGCAGTTTAGAATTTGTCCCATCTGCAGGATAATTTCCACTTTTCTTGCATTTGCATCGCTTTCAGAATTTCCCAAAAAAACTTCTCTAATACCTTATTTCGGGGGGAGGGGAATGAGAATTCTAGCCAAAATAGTCTAACTCAAAAAAAATTTCGGCAGTTAAATAGATGTTGCAATGACTTAGTGAAAAATAAGTCATTTTATAAACGACTTCATCATTAACTTTAAATTAGTTAGACTTATGTAGATAAATCCACGAAATCTATAACAATGTCTTTAGAGAAAGTTAAAAAGTGGATAAAAACCCAATGAAAATTTTAAAAAATATTTTCATAAGAAACTGATTTCCCCGAATCAATTTTGGATATACATTGTAATGGCAGGACCTATAATGATAATGTATACATGTACAATGTTTGGAACTTACCTGTACATTTAACATAGGTCTGTACCTGGTTATATCTTACTTTTAAGTTATTAACTATGAAAAAGCCCCAAAGTGTATAAATACTTTTAAAAATACTGCAGTGTACACAAAAAAAATGTATAAGCTTTATAGAAGTATATTTTTAATAATAGATATTCCGCTATCGTTTAAAACAAATTTAAAGTTCTAGTATGTATTAACCCAAGTATAGTTGCTGCTCTAATGATAACTGATTTAGAAACTTAATTGATCAATTTTTTATTTATTTTTTTTTTTGAATAGTGTGGGAAGGTTTAGTAAAAGAGGGAAGAAACAAAAATTAATAAAAGTAATACTTACCGTACTGACAAAAGAACAGTCTCATTAATGAAGTTTTATTCCCCATAAGTCTAATGAAAAAAAGTACTAGTACTGGGAGATTTTCAAAGAGAAGGAAAACTATTTGTATAAAATTTTGTATAGAAAGGAAAACACGTCATATTGTCAACAGTAAAATATTAATGCTATTATATTTAATCAAATCAAGAATGATCCTTAATTTTCGATGGAATTGATTGTTCAGTTTTTACTTCATTCTTCAATATATGATAATCAAAAGCAAGATTTGATACCTACTCCTATTAATTTTTTCCCTTGTATTTTTGTTGTGACTAAAATTATTTCATGAAGTACATGAATATATAAATAAAAATGAATTGGAATTTTTTCATACTGTTTATTATATTTCATATTAACGTTAAGCCATATATATATATATACCGGTATATACTCTCAAAACTTCCAACCCGTCGTTCAAATAATACATGTATCAGGGTAGTCTTGTAGATATATTTCTATTGCTTAAATTTTTAAATATTTTCCTGGAAATGCAGTTTAAGAACCTAACATTTCATTGTTCAATAGATCTATCAGCTTTTTCAATACATGTAAATATTCTTGGTGTTGAATGATTAAGTTTTACCAAAGGAATTTCATATACACATGTAGTAATGCTGCTTAATTGAGTGGCGGGGTAGAAATTTTGATTAGCATATTATTATTCCAAATCTTTAAATTTAATGTTTTTCCGTTTATTGCTTATGTTCATTTGTACCTAAACCTAGACTCTTGTGCGAGATGAATTCAATAGGCAGATAATGCCTGGTGCCCTATTCATTTACACATGTAATAAAAAAAAAGTAAATGTTATATAAATCTACACCGCTTTTTCTGGGAAGTTCTCTCGTTTAAAGAATAAGCTTTGAAAATTGCAAAAAAATAAGAGCACATTTTAATTCTAATTCTCGCATATATCTTAAAAAGGAAAACTCTCTTATTTAAAAGAATAAGAGTCCTGTTTATCATAAGAATTTTATATAATAAGGGGTAATATCTATGTAAAAGGAACACCGAAGCCCAAACTTTTTTTTTATAAGCCAGTCATGTAGTAAAACAATCGTTTTGTTGATGGTATTTATTAGTGAAAGAAAATATGTCATTTAAACATATCGTTTTCAATCTCATTTTTATTTCATCTGAAGGTAATATAATCAAATGGCCCTATCACGATTATAATCAGATTATTCAAATTTCAAAGCAAATTGATCCGAATATTGAGTTTGTCTAAGTGTTGATTTGAGCAAAATCGATCATTTGCAATATAATTATCTACTAGTATTATTTGTTCGGCGAGTTATGTTCCTGTTTATATGGTTTTATGGCCTAGCTGTATTCATTTCATTTTTAGATTAATGACTACGTTAAGCATTTTTTTAATTGATTAATCAATAGATTGAATCAATTTCTCCTTATTAATATACCGAACCCAAGCTGTTATTTTCATATAATTTTTTAATAAGTATCGACTATCAGAATTCATATCCAATCATTATTCATTATCGTCTGTTTATTACCTAAGCTTGAAAATAAAATGCTTCCCAGGAATTTTCCTTCAAAATATGCGTGCTAATGTCTTGTGATCTTTAATTTTTCATTTGGAACAAATTGTACAGATTTTTTTTTAAGTTTTGGCGGCAATTTTTAATATTTAACCAAATCGTGTATTTTGCATGAATTATTTTACTGTACTTGGGAGATAAAGAATTGCACTTGATATACTGTATATGTATCTGCTGTAAAATCTCAATTTTTAGAACGTATTTTTAATCATTATGAGGATTTTTTAAAACACATTTTGTACTTCATGTGTTAGTAATTTAAACCTATTATTTCCTTTTTTCAGTTCTACTTAGATATTATAAAAAAAATATCTCAAGTCATAACAAAATAGTGAACTCTTTTTTTCATGAAATACATTTACTACTTTATTATTGAACATTTGATTTTTAACCAATCAAGCAAATAAAATAAAATTCTTCATAATTTTAATGCCACAAACTGTATGATTGCACATTTTCAAAATTAAAAAAAAAACATCGGATTTCAGTTTAATAGTATTCAAATATTTGCATGCAAAAATATAAAACGTGTTACAACCAAACATAACACAAATATAAATCACAATACTACATATTTATCTAAGTAAAACATTATCAATCATTTTGCAGAAACTGATTCATGTAAGACATATCCTTCAATTTCACAAATTGTACTTGAAGTAATAGGTGATGGACTCTTTCTATTTGGATTAATATTTGTATTGGAATGTGGCGGCAAATATTCAGGCAGAGATCCGCTATAACTGCTAGTACCCGTTTCTAAAGGGTTTTCATTCTCACTTTCACAATTGTCCAGTACACAACTGATGTCTTCCGTACTATACTGTAATCTATCACCAGAACTCTCGTCTGATTCGTGTGCGTTATCGTCTGCTTGCGTCACTAAAGGCCGAAGTTCTTCAGAAGACACAGAAGGTTGTGAACTCTTGTTTTTTGAGCTCATATCTGAAATGTAAGCACTTTCCTCGGAAATGGGACCTTCTTTTTGACCGAGTAATCGACTTCTCTCCGAAAAACTTCTAATAGCTTGACTTGGGTACAATGTGTTTCCACCATTCTGAAATTCTACTGGATCATAGTACTTGTCCCGGACGGAATCATGAATGCATGAACTCTGAATCTGCAGCGGTATATAATCAGTTTTGTAAGTTTTCTCGTCGTCGAAATTTCCCACCTGCCCGCATCCAGAATCGTAGGTTCCGCCGGAACTAACACTATTCATACGCATGGCTGGAAGACTAGACTCGGTAGAACTCCCCCTTCCACTCGTTGACGCGGAGCTTTTGGTCTTGTCATATTCCTCATTCTGAAATTAAGACGTACAATTTAAGTTGATCAGAAAATTTCATAATAAGGTTTAGAAATATCCTGTATACAAATTACTTTCAAAGAGTGATCGAATTAATGTTGTTAAAGTGATACAAAATATTTTGTCGTTAGTATACTCAATAAAACTTGATGTGTCAGGTTGACACGAATGCCTCCTGATATGCAATGTTTAAATATATGAAATTCTAAGAATGTGAAGATAAAAATGTGTGGAAAAATTATCATACTGCTGGTTTTGTTTCCTAGAATCAGTTGTCTTTACCACAACATGCTTAAGCTGCGTGAAATGGTGATCGCTTACATGCAAGGCAATAAAAAATCCAAAATAGTGAATAATTCGAAATTTTGAAAGTTTAAGGGCCATAGCTTTTTTAAAAATGGGTCAATCAATACGAATATCGTATTTGATCTGTGAGTCATCAATACGAGGAGACAAACCAAGGACCATTATCTATAGGCACTGCAAAAAAGTCCTGAAAACAGAGAATTAGAAATTTTCAATGTCTAAGGACAAAAACTTTCGTGATTTTCGTAAAAATAGGACATTCATCACAAAACTCAAACTTGATCTGTAAGTTATCAATATCAAGGGACATACCAAGAATTAGATCATTATCTACGAGCACAGCAAAATGAGGTCCGGAAAACAATGCATTATTAGAAATTTTCAAAGTCTAAGGGCCATAACTTTTGTAAAAATAGGTCAATCGTCAAGAAACTCAAATATGATCTGGAAGTCGATCATACGCGAAACATAGCAAAAAAAAAATCCAGAAAACTATGATGGAATGACATAATGACAGACGGAAAGGGGTAACAATATTTGCCCCGGCCATTTCAGGGCGGGGTCATAAAATGGGAAAAATGCTTTGATTAATTTGGTAAAAAGCCAGTGACTACATGTATGAATAGTGAAACTTGTTTAATCTGGATGTTGGGTATTCCGAAATCTTGCCTAATACGGTATCAACTTTAAGTCCCTTTCAGTAAATTCATTTGTTTAAAATGTCTTATCTCTAATTTCTATGGAAACCAGTGGTGTCCGGATTAGACAAGTTTTACTACATAAACAATTTTAAATTTATAAATTGTCATCACATAATTGTTGATTTGTGTAATTCATTGTCACATTGGCTTATCTCGAGGCTTACCTCCCCCTTCGACATCTTTCTCAAAAATCACCCTAATATATACATGAAGCTATGAATAACCCTTGAAGAATATTTGTTTATGTTCTGAAAATCACTCTTCATTCGCGTAATCACGAAAGAATGCATGCTAGAGAAATATTATTCTCCTGTATCTTTGTATCATTAAATATTTTATGCAACAAAAATTCGTTATTTTTTTCCCTCGGTTATTAATACCAAAGAACTATTTCAAGAAAATAAAGTGTAGCGAAAATTTGGTGATGTACAATACATTAAAATGACAAGTGGATTAAAAATTGTATAGGTACATACTTTTTTAATATCAGGTAATATAATTTCCGTTTCTTCTAAATTCCTACAATGTCTCCTGCAAAAAGGGAGAGATAAATTATTTGTTTTTATTCATTAATACTATCTGTTATTTTACGTAGTTTAAGCTTTTTAATTATACAATATACTGACCAAGAGCAGTATGATAAAAGCACCAACAATGTAACTCCTCCCAACACTCCACACATAATTATAATCATTTTGGCAATGTTTACTCTCTCATTATGATTGGAATCTGAAAAGTATCATATAATATGAATTATATATATTATTCACACTTAAAATATGAACATTAAATTCAAAATATTTTATTTATAACTTACCTTCATCAAACATTTAACACCTGGGCTAAATTCTGTAGCTAGATTATCTATTTATTTATCTTTTTTTATTATTCATTTTATTTGTTAATTAATTAATTTATTTTTGCGGAATATAATCTAGTGATTTTTGAATTTTGATAAATTTTAGTTCATTGTAAAAATTATAACATACATGTTTGCTCTCCAAAGACTAGAAACTCCACCTCACTGCTGGGCCCAGGTCCTGCATCGGAAACAGCGGATACCCAAACGCTGTATTTGGTGGGAGACAGACCCCTTAATGTATAATTACTTACATATCTACTAACGTTCGCAAATGTTGAAGTTTCTGGAAAAAGAAATTTCAAAAGTCTTTATGATTGTAATGCAATTCACAGAAAGCGCAAAGAAAATCTCTCTCTAAAAATTAAATTAATGTTAGGTATTTATCTGTATTTTCTAATTTTATATTCTACCTTCACAGCTCCTAAATTCACAATACTTTATTCTATACTGCGTCACGTGACCTCTGAACTGTTTACAGTTGTATCGATACCACACAATCTTCATTGCGTTTTGATCAATATCATCTAATACAAATTTCACATTCAGCTTTTCTGATAGAGCTAGTGAAGAGAAATATTTTTGTTAATATTTTAGGAAACAACATTTCTGAATTCAAGAACAGAAGAATTCAGTGTATCAGCCTTTAAATAAAGTTGTTTTTTTTTAATAAAAAGCCCCTTAATTTCTGTGTTTTATTTTTTGTTTGTTTGCTTTACTTCCCTTCAAGAATTTTTAACTCATATTTGGTATGATCTTTATGAATATCCCTAATTATTTCAGTCATTTATTCCTTTTCAATTAGATCCTGAATAAATACTTTAAAAAACAATTAAGAATCTTGTTGAACATTGTCAATATATCATTTCTTGCATAAATGAAAGCTTAAGTCATGGATACAGAACACTAACTTTTATTTGTGAAGTGAACGCACTCTACCCAGGCTATACCACTACTACTTCTCAATCCCCCAAAATATCCATTAGCAGCTATTCCATACATGTAATCATCAACCGTTGTACCCTCCGATACCTCGAGGTGATGGGACGTGTTCGAAACTGTGGTTAACCAATTAAGTTCTCCCTAAATTGAAATTTTGAATTGGACAAGGCATATATTTAAAGTCAGTCGCCAAAATTGTTAGGATTGTGAGTGTGTTTCCTACTCTGTTTTTAAATGCATTTTAAAATTCAAATGAAAATGAGACGTCTAAAGAAAGAATGCATGTATAAACAAAATACTGTGTACAATAACACAGACGGTATTTGATTAAAAAAAAAGTATGAACTTGTTGGTCAGCTTCTCAGTTACCTGGCATTTTCCTTCGTTACTCTTTTTGCACCAAACGACAGTGAAGTCTCCATTGAAAGGAATGTTTTTGAAATGAGCTGGAAAACTCCAACTCAGGGTGACGTGCCTCGAAGTTATACTATTACTCAGTGCTTCAGTATGCACAGGCGATTTTGGCCCTGTCAAATACAGAATTTTTACATATTTCTCAGTAGTTGTGATTCTCAGCTATATCTTCATTGAGAAACCCTACGGATATTTAATTAACACATAATTTAGTTTCTTTCTTTTTATACTTTCATGCACACACTTACATTGTGATTTTGGTGGAATAACTAGAACAGACGGTTCCAGATCTGGAAATTGGTTGGTTTTTCCATTAAAAGGTATGATGCTAATATTATTTGTAACATTTGTACTAATTGGCATCTTTGCTGAAACTGAATTTTGGTTTGCGTAAACTGGTTTGTGATGAGGAGATTTTGGAGACATTGATTCAATCTTGTACTGCATTACAGCGCATCTTATGTCCTTCTGCTCGATAGGCTATAAAATATGACAATTTTAAATGCAAATTTCAACTTGTTAAATGACATAGTTCTTTATTTTCTATCAATGAAATATATATCTGGATTTTTTTCGTCAACAACAACAACAACAAAAATTTAAATGAGTTACGTATAATTTCACCTTCCAGTAAATTTCGACTTTATCACATGTCACATTCAAACAACTGAAAAATGATGGCTGGACCCTGGGAACTGCTGATGGGACTGAAAATAAATGTAAGTAAAGATTAAAGGGTAAAAACACTTGTTTTTAGTCTTTGGATTACAAGAATATATTTGTGATACCATAGAAACTGAGGTGGTGATATAATTGCAAATGGAAGAAAAGTTAACTAAATAGGGTAAGGGAGTTCTACTCGTCCTGAATCGTCCCGAAAAATGTTAAGTTATAAGAGATATATTTCAATAAAGAATAATTGTGTTTACATGGTAAATAGGGCTCTCAAAGAAACAAATATATTGATCTTTCCCCTTGCATTAAACTTAAAAAAGAAGGTTATTCAGCAAGACGCAACTCGGAATAAATTCAGATAAAAAAAGCATCAATTGAATTTTTTATCACTTTCTGCTTTTGTTACTTGAAATTAACTAAGAATCATTTGCTTGTCTACATGTGTTAGTAAAACGAAAGATGAGTTATATTTCAAGTGTATTTACCAAACGAAATAATTTTTTTTGCCCGTCTGTCCTTACCGGAAATTAACCGAAGTTACGATTTCCTTAAAATTCGAGATGGTATCTGTTATTTATTTTATTTTACATAAGTTAAAGGTCAATACTTCATTGTAAAGATTTGCGATATCTCTATTTCTTTAAAAAAAAAAAACTTATTTCTTATACCATCCTCAAGTGTCTTTGCCTTAATCGTGGTAACCTCGGACCAAAACCCCTTGACTTCACCCTGTACAATTGGTATACAAGATATTCGTATTTTGTATGTTGTGTACGGGATCAGGTTTACCAGGTTTGTGCTCATCCTCCTCGATATCTCTGTCTAATGATAATCAAATATTCAAATGAGTAATGTTTTCTTTTCGTCATAAGGAGCAAACACCATTGCCTTCCTTCTCTTTCACTAAAGTAAGTCAATTGCAAATTAAAGCAAATAGAAAACAAAGCAACTTAATAAAATGCAGTTAAAGAATTTTTAAAAAGAAGAAATTATATTGTTAAAATCGTAAAGAAAAACAGTAATTAGCTTGTACATGTATTAAAAAGTACAACATATAAAGCCTCACTCAAAACCATTGAAGAAGATGTTGTTAATGATGTCTACCTTATCATTGCCTGTATTTAGCTTTAACCTTAATATTTTTTTTTTGTAAACCGACACCTTCGAATTAAAATTTAACAAAGCACATCTACCCAAAGTTTAGTACCAATAAATTTACCAAGTCGGTAAAGTCGTCGATTTCTCTGGTGTAGATTTCCTCCTGAAAATTGGTCAAACATCATTTTCCAATTTTACGACATATCATAAACAAGTAGTTCTGCCAGAAACCAAGTAAACGTATGGGAGTGTAACAAATCCTAGATACTAGTAATAATGACCCAACACTAGCACTTTGATCCCAGCACTCTTTTATTCCTATCATTTCCTAGAAAAAGGTCAGCAAATCGTTCCTTTAGAAACATAATGTCGTGACAGTCATTTTAATGATCCACCTTTGTAGTTGACAACATACCTTCCATGCGCTTTCCCATTCGGATCTGTATTCAATCTTAAAGCGGAGCGACATATACGGTTTAGAATGGCTCCATGATATCATCATGCCTGTTTTATTGACCTCTGTCCTGATGTTTTCAACTTTTGCTGGCTGCACTACAATAATTATATATTTATTTATCTGATAATGTTCTCGAGACAGTTTATCATAAATTTATTTTGAAACGGATTTTGTTTTAAGAATATTTAATTTGTCAAACATTTTAAAAATCCCCAGATGGATCCCTCTTTATTTATTTTTTCCCTTAAGGAATAATTATATCTTTTTACTATGATATGAATTTCGACGCTGTACATAAAAGCATAATAATAGAAGACACAATACCTAATTCGTCTGTATTGAAGTAGAAATGAGACGAAACACTGGTTTCCGGTCGCCTGTTGTTGGTAATATTGACAACAAACACGTATGCCCCACGCTTGTAGCTGTCTCTACCGTCATTTTCCATTATCGTGCAAGATAAGCACTTTCCTTCGATTTTAACATTTTTGCAAGGAGACAAGTGCGTATACCTAGAAGTGATGAAAGGGGATTAAATACTTTAAGAATATACTATATTTCTTAATATATATATATATATATATATATATATATATATATATATATATATATATATATATATATATATATATATATATATATATTTATATATATTCTTTAAAGCACAAAAAGTTTTATTATCATGTTACAAATCAGAGCAATTGAAAAAAAAACTTTGCTTTCTTCATTAAGGAGGAGTAACAGTAAACATACGACTTCTGACAGAAAGAAAGTTATTCATTAAAATGTTAACCGTGTCCTTCAAAGCAATGTCTAAAAGGCTAATGATTGATATTTATGTGGCACACCCCAGAGGTTGATTACTGGTGGCCCATTAACCTTTGAATCGATGCCAAGTACATGTAGATCAAATGTTCAATGTTCATTATCAAAAAAATATAAAAATGCCTTTGTAAAAATATATATATATATATTTTAAAAGTAATTTTCGTTGAATTCAAAATAAAAAAAAGTTGTATTGCCTTCTTGAGTGTGGACGACTGTATCAATTTAATTATCCTATACGCGTGTTCGCCCTTTCTAAGCATATACATGTACTATTAAAAGCTATCTCACATTTTGAAAGTTGAAACAGACATTTGATTTCTCACTTAATATCCTTAATAAGGTATGTTATATAACATATTTATATTTAATATACTACAAAATTTCAATTTTCATTGATCCTTGTGGAATTTAAGATAGACTTTTACTATCCGCGCAAAAAATGTCAGGAATAACGAAAAAAAAAGACTTACACGCTCCAATGCAAAGATACATCGTAGTCTAGATGAGTAAAGTCTTCCACTGTGGTGTTGTACTGGGCCGTGATGCTCATGTCCGAGTTATCAGAATGTCTGTAGACCACTCCCAAGTCCCAAACGCAAGTCATGTTTTGCCAGTTGAAAACCAGACAGGAACCATTTACTACCTTCTGCGGGCGATCTGTTCATGTTAGAAAATATTAAAATAATCAGGTTTTAAAAGTACTGCTTAATATTCTTATTCTCTTTCCCTGTTTCTCATATTTGTCATTGTTACTTGTAACTGGTATGACTTTTGTTTATACTGGTGTATAGAAAGTTCATATTTGTTTGAATTTATCGAATTCATAGTAACTGAGGATGCAATATTGCAAAACATAGATATATCTATATTGTTATTCATAAATTAAGATTTTTTTTAATATTGGGGTTTGAAAAAACTACTCCCATCCTTTAACACTTGAATGTCAAATGATGAAAAAAGAAGATCTGGCAAATTGGACCTTGACAAAGTTAAAAAAAATTGTAAAAAAGCACAAAAAGACTTCTTGAAAGATCCAACACAAACAATAAACGTTGTTATGAAAAACATGTAGCACACACCATGCTTATTCAAATGCTAGTAACTTGACGTAAAATGACACTGCCTTTAAGACTAGGCCAATCAAGATACGATGTGAAGACATCAAAACATATTTCGTCACTGATATATGACTTTGTTCGTATTTAAGAAACTCACTTGAAGTTTAAGATTAAGAAAAACTGTTCAGTTTTATAACTGCATTCAGTCACACTTTTACAGAAAAAAATGTTTTCTTGAGCTCTTTAAAATTAATACCCACCTCTTTTTCTAACAATGAAGACATAAATTGTTGGATGATAAAATAGATGTATGTTGATGATGTATAATGAAATACAGTACTGCAATTGATAAAAAAAAAAATTAACAGTGCATATGTTTAAGCTTCTTTTGAAGAATTGCAACATTCTATAATATAATTAAAATCAAAGAAAAATATTAGAGAGTGCTTTGAAAATCACATTTCCTCCTTTACATAGGTATTTCCCCAAGATACTGGCAAATCGCATAAACAAAATGATGCACCAAATGAAATATTCATCGTTCATAAAATCTTGTGACTTTCCAAGAGTTGTCTCTTCTTGTGCTTGACAGAATCCTTTCTTAATTTTTTTTTAAATGTAAACTTACGATTGTAATTTTTCATGTAACATACGACTTCATATTAAAACAATTCTAAAAACATATCTTTGCAATGCAGTCCTATCTTATAGCTACAAACCAGTTCGGAGATTTCTCTTCGGTTTTGAAAACATTAGGATTAATCGTACATTTTTTTTTTCTATTTTGATGAAGAAGAAAAAAAACAACAAAAATGTGCACATATCACACTGCCTATGGAGATTTGTTACAGATTAGAATCAACAAGAAAAAAAAACAAAAAATAGATGCATTTATCGAAAATGAAAAGTTTACAAACATTACATTACTAAGCAAATTGTGGGTACTTTTATATAGTCATATTATAAATAAGTTGAAGTTTTGATCCACTGACAAACCTGAATATTGCATGGCTCTGTGAAAAAGAGCAGTTTCAAGTTACTATATAGTAGTTGATGCAAGCAAGCATGATAATAATAGAGATGGCATATTATTAAGCACCTTCAGTGTTAATAATGCATTAATTGTTACAAAACGTAATAAACTAAGATTATTACATGAAATACGGAGATAACGAACAGTATTCAAGCTCAAGGTTCATTTAGACAATACAAATCGGGAGCAGAACAAACACGGACCTCCAAAAACATTAGAGGTTGGATCAGGTACCATGGAGGAGTGAGCATCTGCCAACCGGTCACACCCGCCATGTGCTCCTTGTCATTATCGGGAAAAACGGAAAAATCCGTAGATGATTCAGTGTGTAAATAATGGTTTAACAATTAGTAGGAAAAACGATTTTGACTTAATGATAGGTTGTATTTGCGTTATTACATTTTGTGTCAAGATTAGTGCGTAATGTAACACTACAAAACGTAACAACACTTTTAAACAAAATTGTAATACCAAAAATGTAATAAACCAAAAAGTATGTTATAACATTTTGCGTTATTACTTTCTGCATTAACCTCGACTTAAAATGTAATAATACAAAATGCCATAATCCCAGTTTATTACAGTTTGTGTCTTTATTGCAGTTTGTGTTGTAACAATGCTAAGAAATTTTAGTATCTACGCTGTTTTCAAACAGATATTGATCGTTGACCTTCAAAGGATACAAAACGAACAAAATTATCTCAAACGAACATTTGTCAAAAACATCCTGGTGTTTAAGTAAAGGAGCAATAGCTGAAACATGAAACCTCCAAACTGTTTATTATTATATGTGATAGGAAACATAATCAATGCGTTCTCCATTATTAATGTTCTCTCTTTATTTCTTTTAGAGGGTATGGAGATTGTTATATGTTTTTCTTTTGAAAAATAACAACTTGTGCAATTTAACATTCTCTGTCCGATATATTAATACCCAAAGTAAATTTGACAGTCTTTTTGGATTTTTTATTTGCTAAATTTGCTATGCAAAATATTTTATGTTTACGATCAAACTTTAAAAGTTCTAAAGGTACAAGTACATCAGATTCACCGTCCAAATAGATGTCAAATATTACACAGCTCTGCAAATTAACAAGGCTCAATTTGAGGTGTGCATACATGTATGTCATTCGTCACTTTTCAGCAAAGTTTAGTCAAAACCTCTGATATCAAAGTTATTACAATTTAATTTTTTAATAACAAAATTGACAAATTGCACAACATTCTATTAAAATGCCGCTCAGAAAATCAACTAGAAATAAGATTCATGAGGGACCATTTTCTTTTGATGAATGGATATCAACATTTTTTTTTTCCGAAATCTACAGATGTGCTTATTTCATTATGTTGGAACTTTAATTGGCACTAAAAAGAAATATTTAGTGTCAGTTTCAAATATTTTAACAAAAATTTTACACAGTTTTCAACATACATATACTTTGCCAAAAACTGTAGAAATATTGAAAAAGTCGAGATGAAAAAGTCTTAAATTTGCATAATTTGACCCATATCTCAAAATTTACATCACTTGTCTCAACTTTTATTTAATTTTTTTTTCAAATTTCAGATACTTCTTACCCATTAGCACTTGATTTATAAAAAAGTTTGATATAAAAAAATTATATTGAGTGTTACGAATTTTAATACCCAAAAAGGTCACAAAATAATGTACACGCATTAATTGGTAATATTTTTTCAATAATGTTTTTTATTTAACCAATTTTACATATTTTATTTTTTAAAATTTATTTTACATAAATTAAGATTTTATTTTTTTGCAATAATTCATCTGATAAAACATGATTTAAGTTAAAGTGCTTAATATAATATATACATTTTAAGTGCAAAAAAGTTTATTGTACTGTTTGGTCAGTAATATGCACACTGACCCCCAATTTTCTTTCTGATTTCTAGTTATGCTATATGAGCAGATATCTAAACATACGTCTCCAAAATCCTCTAAATAACTAGTTTCAAGAGTGACCATACATCAAGTGTTGCCTTCCACGTGACTTGTGGGGATGGGGGTTAATTTTTCTGTAATTTATTTCTTATTTGTTTCTCACTATATAAGTAGAAACTAATATTCTAAATTCAAGGACAGATGATACAAACTTTCTTAAAAAATCATGATAATAACAACTAAAGCAATGTTTATGTAAGTAAAATGAATAAGTTTAGTTGCGTAGATTTTAATTTTTCATTAAAAAATTCCCAGAAATGTCCAATAAAGTGATAAAAAGTTGTATATATTTATAATTGTGACAGCAAAGGTGTAAATTTTTGAACATCATAGAAGTTTACAATGTCACATCTGTCAACGTTTACAATTTCTAAATATTTAGAAATTGGTTGTTTGCATCGTTTACAACCAAATCGAGTTCAAAAATATATATCAATCCGGGCATCTTTTTTTTTATTTGTATCATCTGTCCTTAAATAAAAATTCCTAGAATATATTTGGTCGTTTCCTAGTAATCTCCTGATATAGGTTAAAAGTCCCTAATGTTTCTTCCTTCCATACCTATGTAAAGTAGTACTTGTTTTTGCATTTACTCAGCATTAGATTCAGAAGTATAACATGCAGACATCCCCCTAACAGAAACATGCTGGGAAATATCAGGCCCTATATAAGATGCGATTTAGGGGGAGGGGGACAACCAAACATTTTCATTTGGGTGGTCACTACCGAGCAATTATTCCTTAAAAAGCCAAAAAAAGGTCATAAGACCTTATTATTGAAAAGGTATATCCATAAAGTAGCTTTCTTTCCTATAGTATGCTAGCTACATATATATCTGCAAAATTACAGGGGGGAACCCCCCCCCTCCCCCCCCCCCCGGTAGCCCGGTTCCTACAGTCATGAATACATGTATAACTTAATTTACAACCAAGTTATGAATTATATATGACTTCGTGAACAAGTAATAAAAAGATTACAATTCAATGTCACACCTGTCAAGCTTTTTGATTCCCATAGAAACATGAATGTTTGGAAAAAAAAGAGCTTATGAGAACAAAATAGGACTTTACAAAATTCCAAACTAATCTGTTTGGACATCAAAATAAACGACGCAGATAAACTATATTAAATGTAATTTTTTTAAAAGGTAAACCACATTTTCTCCTGAAATGCAGAAGCAAATTATCTGACATTCTTAACTTGAAGGACTATAGCTCAATCTGGACAACCAACTAAACACACTTTGATTTACAATATAACACATTATACTAAGAATCTACAAAGCATTACCTCGCCGTAGACTAGCAATTATTACAAACCACACTGTCATGAGATTTTTTATGCTTCACCTCTTAGAATGTAATGTTAAAGCCCTATAACTCAATATCAGCATGCCTGGTTTAAAGTGTTAAAAGAACATGCAACATGTTAAAATCAAACGATACACTGCATGCACTCAAACAAATGCCTTACGCTCTATGGTGAGAAACTGTTTGCCTTTCTTTCCTTCACAGATTGGAGAGGTACAAACATACGCCAAATATCCTGCTTGTTCAGGAATCATATTTACAGACACAACATCATGACCTCGTGCAGTTAATGGGTCATTATTGTGTATATTGCTTGAAATGTTCAAATTGTGTCTTTTTATAGAGATGATATTTTCTGAAGAATTGAGATGTGCTCTTGAACTAAGAAGCGTGCAAGAGAGATTAATCTTCTCCCCAAAGAAAATGTATAGAGGATCTGCAAAAAAGAATATTTATAAATAAAAATTAAAAAAGCATTTTACTTTAGGAATTGTTAATTCATGTGCCATTTTATTTGTATGCCAGCATGAGGTTGTTTTTAAAAGGAAAAAAAATCACAAAAATAATATGGGATTTGGGTATGCATTGCCAAAAGTATTTTGAAATAAACGAGTTGAACACCTTCTACACTTAAATACTTAATAGTGTAGAATGAAACAAATTACATTTACTAAATTAATATGTGACAAATAGCAATGAAAAAGTTGAAAATAACGAAGATAACGAACAGTAATTGATCTCGAAAAATCTACAAACAATATAAATATGTGAACAGGGCATAAAACACGGACCTCCGGAAATTCCAGAGGTGGGATCGAGTGCCTAGGAGGAGTGTGCATCCCCTGTCGACCGGTCACACCCGCCGTGAGTAGGAGACAAAAATAAGTTCCAAGACTGGAAAGTATTTTTAAGAAATGCATATCTTCAGTTCATTTAAATCACCTGAAAGATTGAATACATGTACCAAATCATGGATAAAAGATTTTAAGAGCAATATCATACACTACGTTGTGGTTTCATGTTTTGGACGACGTAAAAGTGCATGAAATAAAGAAGTAATTTTAATTATTAATGTTTCTTTTAAGTCTTACAGCCAGAAACTGAGAAGTTATTAGGATAACTGGATTTAAGAAGTATACTTTTTACAAGAAAACGTTTCCATTTGGGTGTGCGGAAGCATTCAACGGGAATTGTACCGTATGGTTTTCAAAAACATAAACTTTTAGATGATGAATATGTTTCACTGACACCATGAATGAAATATGAGATAATTATGATGTAAAGCATATAAACAAACATACATATATGTTAATTTTCCATTTAAATAGTATGACCTAGCTGAAAATAATGGAAACTATACAATATACAGTATAAATACACAATACTTAAAAATACCTTTACAAGCACATACATTTAAACTGTAATCAGTTCTTATTGAATAAAACAGAATACGATATAATTAGATATCAGATTTGTTTTACGTATGTTATTGTTTTATTCAATTCATAAATGTTGACTGTACATATTGGGCATATTCAATTTGTTATTCTCAATAATTTTACTGAATTTTAGCGCGTTTTATTGTACATGTAGATGGTACAACCACGGACATAGATTCGAAAATTTGTACTTTTTTTCATGTCAAACTTTGCAATAATCAATCTTTCTATTTGTATTGCACATGTATAATTGTATATTCACTATTTGTGTTGTATACTTTTAGTTGTTTTAAATATTTGTCAGTTTGTATTGTATATTTTTTTACTTGTATTGTTTTCTTTAATTGTCCATTTGTAAATGTTTTTTCGTTAATTATATTGTATGATTTACATCTGTTTGGTATAATACATAATTCTATACTATAATTCGATTTGTAAAATAAAAATATATTTTTTTACTAGTATCGAAAACAAATACAAATTGAAATATCATAGAATATAAATAGTGTATTATACAAAACAAATGAAATTTACACAATATAAATATAAAATTAAAAATAGAAATATGCAGTTAGATACCGTTAAAAACATCAATACCCACAAATAAGTGTACATGCCTTTCCTTTGTATATCTAAATAACTAGCAAAGAAACCACATAGATATATATATATATATACTATAACTTACATAAATTTTGAAAAGCGACGTTTCTCGGACGTCAATTGACTCCCTGGGTAGAAATGAAAACTCAGAAACTTAATTGCAGATCTATAGGACACCACCAAACATATTCCAAAAGATTATTTGGCTAATGCGTAGAATACAACAGGTTTTGGAACATGGTTTTGTTTTTCAAACCCCGAATTACTTAGTATTGGCCCCTGTATTATGTTGTAAATTTTGAATAGACAAGGTGCAGATAAAATTTACAGTTATCGATAAAATTTACAGTTATCGTGTTGTAAATTTTGTATTTATCTCAACCTAGTGCATTCAAAATTTAGAACTTAAATGAAAACTCCAAAACCTTCTAACACTTCTACAGGACACCATCAACCATACTGAAAAAGATCAGGCTACTGCTTGAGGAGTTTGAGAAAAAAAAATGTTGTGAAGGACGGACGGACCGGAATTACAACAGTATTTCCGAACTTTCTTTAAAAAGTCTTGGTATAATTATAGAACACAAAATAGAAAATATAAAATACAAATTTTCGTAATAGATTATACATTATATAAATACAAGTGGACAATTAAAATACAATACAAACGGACAATCGTAGATTACAAATGGAAAAGATCAAATATTGCAACGCTCGACATGCCATTTGTTTATTTATATTTAGCAGTGGTGACTTAGTAATTTACTTTGCAGTCGTCAGGCCCGTAGGAAGCAATTTCAGTTTGGGGGGGGGGGGGGCACAGCCATACATTTTTCAGTTGACGTTGAGGGGGCACTACCAAAAATTTCCTGACAAGCAAAAAAAAAAAAAAAAAAAAAAACATCAACTACCAAAATTCCTTAACAAGCAAAAAAAAAAAAAAGGTCATCAGACGTTTTTATTGAGGGGGCACAATCACACATTATCTATGTTTACTATAGTAATCTATATATCGGCAAAATTATTGGGGGGGGGGCACGGCCCCCCGTACCCCCCCCCACCGGTTCCTACGGCCATGGTCGTTACTTAGTTGTATTTTTTACTCTATAAGCAGGTACTGGCTACCCGTTAAATAAAAGTGTCGTTATGCTCTAAAAGAAGGTCGTGATTTTTTCGTGTGCACTGTAATTATTGTTAGCGCGCAGCAGTCCAAACAAAGTATTGTGTAAAATCGGTCAGATCCTTCAGATCTCTATTGTTTCTCTAATGCGTTTCAATGCATTTGGAGAACTGCAAACTATGTGAATAACTTCAAGGCTTCGTTAGATATGTTGAATATTGATGTAATCATTCAAAACATATTACGAGACCATTCGTTTGAAATACACTGGATTAGGGGATTAAAATAGTTTGGTTTTTTTTGAAATATGCACTTAAAATGTATTTAATATAAGGCGTTCATGTATTATTGAGTCAGTTCGTTGAACTTGTTAGGGTTACGGGATAAGTCAAAATATTTAAACCTTTGTCCATTCGCTGTTAACTTTCTCTAGTATATGAGTTAAAATATTAAAGTACATGTACATGTGTTTACTTGTTCATGTAGCAAAGAATGTTACACGCGATTTGCACATTAAGGTGTTACAAATTCGGTTCCGACAAAAATTAATGGTCTGAAAAATAGATATATGAAAACTTATCTGTTCATCTTAGCAATTGAGACTCTTTGACATTTAAATTAAAATGTGTAAATTGAGGATATTTTTAAGTATCTTATTTGTCCGTTTAATCTTCTTGCAATTTTTCCACCTGAAAAAATATTCTGAACCAAAAAAGTACATTGGACAAAATGCCCAGTACCCCTGATGGAAAATCAAAAATAAAAACATACCTGCTGTAAAATTTAAGCTGCATTGCTCCTTTCCGAAAACTAATGTTAAAATGCATAAAAACAATACACTCCAAAAGAAGTCTTCCAATTTCATCGTGTCGGATCAACAGAAGTCTATTTTGGCAAGTTGTACATTTAAGTCGAGGAGGAAGTGGTCTACAGTAAAAAAAAAAAAAAGGTACTAACAAATCCACAGGACGTATAGTTGCGAGCTAACGCGTCCTCATCTGTGCCATTTAATTAGTGTGACACGAATGTAACTTCATTGATCTGTGACAGTATGAAGGAAATATATTGCGGATATTTAAAATACACGAGCTTTTAAATCTCTTTACATTCAATACCAAACACGCAAGCCACATAATTTCCAGTAGTCTCAGGGGAGTTTTTTAATCATGTAAAAATGTGTATTTTATGATACTAAGAAAATATAATTTTTAACATAATTATAAGAATAAAAATACTGAACATTTCATGTCAGGAGTCTAGTACAAAAAGTCGTTATGAAGCATATATAGCCTTGGTTGAATAATGTTCCAAATTGAAGCATATGATTTCATAAATGTACATACATACTTAGAGAGACGGGAAGAACAAGGGACTTTCAAAAGAAAAATAAAATGTACGTATAACAACGAGCACACAAATTCGTTGTAATGCAAATCACACAGTTATACTTAATTTACGACAAGTATCTTAGTAGCAAAATTGCAAAGCTTTGGTATAGGTCAGGAGAAAACTACATGTAAGAAGACGGACGGGTCACAAAGCCCTGAAAAAGGTCAGTGCCAGATTTATTGGACTGTAAAACAAATTGTGTTTTAATTGGTCGAAATCGCTGGCAACGGGTAAATATTGAAATCTACTTTGAGAACTGATTTAAGTAAAGATGAGTATTTATTATGATGTAGAAATGCTTCTGAAACAAAGTCTGAAAGGTTACAACTCTCACCCGAGTCGCAGTTCTACTACAAGTACTTCTAAAAACTCTATCTGAAGATGATGATGATGATGAAACATTAAGGTTACTCTAACCTTAATCAAAGACTATATACAGTGTATATTAATGACTGCACATACGTGTAGAATTGAAATCATTTAGCCAAGTTAACTTCTTTAGGAATTCTTAACGTCACTATTTGTTTACATCAATGAGGCACCATATGTCAATTAAACGCATGACAGTACAATTGATCAAGATGTTCTTTGTGATGTTATATATATATATATATATATATATATATATATATATATATATATATATATATATATATATATATATATCGCAGTATATGCGATTTATGGCATCTGTAATTGCTACTTTTTGCTTGTGTGTTTTTCCATATATGGTGCGATATTTTACTGCTGTATATATATACAACACAAGGGTGTAGTACAAATAATGTTACTTTCTTTACTGATGACAGAAGTTGTTATCGCTGTCATTTCAAAGTATCACCGTTTGAAAATGCAGTGCATCAAACCATCCATTATCACATATTGAAGCATTTTATCAAAGATCTAGTTTTCTACCCGGGGCGGCTGAATACATCGTTTAAATTAAGAGGTAGAGGAATGGACAAATCTTCTCAGAATCATGGCAAAGAGAAGCCTTCCTCTCAACAAGGTTTCGCACAAAATGTTCATGAACGTTGTTACATGGTTTGCTACATACAATTCCCTTGGAAGGCGATATGATTCCAATGTGAAACTCTTCTGGAGAACAGGAAAATAATTGTTCAAAGATAAATGTTTGAAGTTTATGTCAGGATTGAGGCAAAAAGGTCAAGAATTTGAAGGTGTTCAGTTAGGTCAGTTCGAAACAAAGGATTCAAAGATTACATGTAACTTTATTGTTCCAAGTAAATACGATCTGTAAATAGAAAGCGATGCAATGAAAGAAAGTTGCCAATCAACTGGCATTGTGATTCCAGTTATAGAATAATTTGCACCAAGTGTAAACCCAAATCATCTGCTTTTGAAACTGAGTATGGGTTTAAAAAAAAGTTTAATCCAGGTGGCAAATTTGCGGATGTGAACTACTTGGGATTTGAGGATTAAAAAAACAGATTTAGAGAGAGAAATGAACGACTACAAGAAGAACTAGATGCTCTCAGCAATGCAAGAATCCCACAAAAATAGGTTTGAAATCAATCAGTTAGCCTAGGTGACCAGACGTGTTTTTGCAAGCTCTTATCTTCTCCATATTGATAAGGTAGATTATGAAATTATGAGGAACAATTTTGGATTTCAATGCTAATTCTAGTCTTTTTAGATCAATAGTGCACTCATTTAGTGGGGTTTTTAAATCCTTTATTGAAAATAAGGATGTACCCGAAGAGACTGTGGGTATTTCAGAGTTTCTAAAAGTAAAATTGAACAAAGAAAGTGTTACCATAACCTTTAACAGTGAGAAGTACTACTTTATTTTAAGCTTATTACAAAGCAATCTTCTACACTGCAGAGATGATAGTCAAAATGGAAGTATCTATGAAACACCATGTGAAACGGTTACTGTTACTATTTATCAATCAAACAACACACTGCATATTCAAGGAGATGCAGCCTTTACCTGGTACAATGACTTGCTACTGAGAATGCGAATGCAATATTAACCACAGTGATACGTAATGCAAACTGGTTGTTGGGCAAACGCTTCCACACTGAGCATCAACTCCAAAATCTACCTACAAAGATAGACAAAATAACAAACAAACTGCGGACATTAATTGTGACTAGTGCAACAGTGCAGAGATTATAAAGCAACTTTCTGAAATGGTGAAAACATTAACACAGGAAGTAGAAAATCTTAAAAAGCAGTTGCTTCCCAAAAAAAGGAATGTGTAAAAGTTCTTAAATTTCAAAAATCAGTGAAACAGAAAGGAACAAATACAGAAGGACTTCCTGTCTCAAATGGAGTCTCCAGACACACCCAGTGCATCTTAACTACCAACAAGAAAGATTGCAGCATGTCCACAACTATACAGAATCCAGTTCAAGTTTGCAATCAATTCAAAAGACGGAGAAAGTATGGAGACAGCCAGAAGACGGAAAATCTGTTCTTTTGATTGGGAGTTCAATTCTTCAGAGAATCAGAACTCGTGGATTACTACCTTCAGTGCAAGTTAGCACGAACAGAGGAGCCCAAGTTTCCCATATACGTGCAAAGCTAGCCAAGATGAATATCCTATAAAAATGTAATTATTCTTTTGGGGTGGGGGGGGGGGGTGGGGGGTGGGAACGATGTCGGAAACAACCGTGAAATGGAGGCTATTGAAAATGATCTTGTGGAAATTATCACTGATCTCAAGTCCAGGAAGTCTTGTCTCCAAGTGTTTATTTGTGATGTGTTGGCAAGTAAAGATATCAACGGGTGCAAGATTAATAATATGATTCGTTATGTCTGTAAGGAATATGGAGCTACATTGATTCCCGCTACACGTGTTTAAAAAAGAAAAACCTCGCCCGGAATTATACTAGAAAGACGGGATCCACCTCTCTGACAAAGGAACATCTTCATTACTAACAATCCTGCAAGGACAAGAGAACATTTTGAAACGCGACAGAGTACAAGACCACCAAATTGTTTCGGGTAAATGCACCTGTCACTTCTGTGGTGAAGAGGGCCATTCCGCACGAAACTGCATGGATGGGAGAAAAGTTACTTGTTGGCAGTGTGGCAAGGCTGGCCACATACTTAAATTCTGCACATACTAGGAAATCGGCAATGAATGTGCAGCCGTCAATATAAATGTCAATGATCTTAGTTGTAAAAACTCTTTTGAAGAACTCGCTAACTTAGGCCCAGAATGCAATACTGTAAAATGTGAATGTTCAAATATTGTCGTGGGCCTTAATTCAAGCAAATCAATTATCCAGCAAATCTCTGTTAGCTCATCATCAAAAAGCATTGCTTTAGAAAGTTTTAAAACAACGATGCATTCAAAAAATTCAAAGCCCCTTACAAAAAGTATAGAAATAATCCTCCTGAAATTATCACCATTTGGCCTTAAAATAAGATTAAAATTCGAGAATTTAAATGTTTGTCACATTTTGCCGAAAATTGATCATATCCAATTATTTTTAAATAGTGAACAGTCATTGGATGTGTTTGGGGTTTGTGAAACTTTTTTAAATGAAAATATGGCTGATAATGATTTATTTATAGAGGGATATGTTTTTGAGAGAAAAGACAGATTATGTAAAGCAGGCGGTAGCGGTCTATGTGTCAAAAGATTAAAATCATAAGCTTCGAAATTACCTTGAACAAGAAGTAATAGAATCTATATTGCATGCTTGAAATAATACTAGTAATTCCCAATTCTAAACTAATTTTCTTTTGTTCTGCATATCGTCCACCATCTGTCACTTCCTGCTGGGTCGAAGAACAAGTAAGGGAGATAAACTGTGCCTCCCGCTGTGATGAAAATGAAATTATCTTAACTGGTGATTTTAATATTGTTCTGCTCAAAGAACCCCCACAGTAATGGACCTCTGCTTTAGAAGAATTTGATTTTACACAAGTTGTTCAAGTACCTACCAGAGTTACAAACATATCAAGTACACTTATTGACCATATTTACATTTATTTACCTGAAAACATGTGTGAAATTCAAGTGTCCCCGACAGCCATGTCAGACCAATACCCTGTGTGTTTTACAAGATAAACGAATAACCTTATTCGTAAAGGAAAGTACACAGAGATCACATATAGATGCTTTAAAAATTTCAATGAGCGCAATTTCCCGAATGACTTAGAATATGCAAATTTTACATCCGTAGAAACCATATGCGATCCCGTTGAAATTTTGAAAAAGCTTGTGAAAAGTGATACTCGCCCTAAATGGTAAACACCAGAAGTCACGAAGGCACAGCACATGCGTGACAATTTTCATCAAATAGGTGATTTGAAAAACTTTCGAATATGGAGAAACAAGGTCTCAACACTAATAGACAATGCAAAGGTCAGCTATTATAGGTCAACCATTGAGCAGAACAAAAATCCACAACAAGTGTGGGAAACATTGCACAAACTTGCATCAAATTCACAGAATTGTGTACCAGTGTCTATTTCTGACAATAATTACACCACTG